CATCCATCCATCCATCCATCCATCCATCCATCCATCCATCCCCCCTTCCCTCCCTCCTTCCCTCCCTCCTACCTGCTAAACTCCTCGTCAGTCATTATAAACATGAAGGAGTCCAGAAGTTTGCGGAAGTCGTTTCTGGTGATGCTCTGAGACTTCGTTTCGTCCATCTTAAGGAACGTTTCTTGGAGGTCCTGCAGAGGGCAACACAACAATTTTATTTTTAATTTTGTGTCAGAAGCTTCTGAGACATGGGCTGTGACAGTAGAAGACATGAAGAGACTGGCACGGAGCGACAGGGCCATGTTGTAAGATGGATGTGCTCCAGGAAACTGGCAGATTGCCAGTCAACTGAACAGCTATATGTCTGCGGCTTGGAGTCCATAACATCCGGGACACAGTTAGACTGACCCAGTGAGGCTGGCCCATCACCCTACATTGAACTGCGAAGGGGGCCGACATCGTCTACCAGCTACCTTTGACCCAGTGTTGACGTCACACTTCTAAGAAGCCACTTGATGATGATGAGCTTCACTGGGTCAGTCTACTGAGGAAGACCAGAATGACAGGTCGAAAGCTCTAGGTGAGAGAATTTTTTTGCGTTGGACCAAAAGTTTTAACTTTAAACAAGAAAGGTTTAACTATTAAGATAGTGTCTTACATTGAATCCCTCCCTGAGCTTGGTCCTCAGCTGTTCCTCCACCTCCTCAGCAGACATGTACCGCACGTTGGTGCTGTTGACCCGGTGGTTCCCCGACCGAAGGATGTCTGATGCCGGGCCACCGTGTCTGAAAAAATGTCAGGCACTCGTTAAAAAGTAAAAGTAATCTCGAAAGTGAAGGTGATCTTAAAATTTTGCGATGAAGTCTGTGTTTGGAGAAGAAGAAGAAGAGAAAGAAGAAGGAACTGAGCTAAAACAAGATGATTTCCTTTTGTGGAGGTAAACATAATTGAAACTCTTGGTCTCCAAAAGCAGGGATGAAGTCTGTGTTTGGAGAAGAAGAAGAAACTGAGCTAAAACAAGATGTTTTCATCTGTGAAGGTAAACATAACTAACTCCTGTCCTCACCTTCTGTCCTCGAAGGCAGCGATGAAGTCTGTGTACTGGAGGAAGCCGTTGAAAAAGCCGAGTCTGGTACAGAGGCTGTTAAACTGACTCGGGTCCATAAACATGCCGTTATCCTCCAGGATCTAACAACAAAAGGAAAAAACAATTGGGGAAACTTTAAAACAAAAGGCAGGGCTCGAAATACTGGGTGCATAGGCACCTTTAAGTGCACCCAAATTTGGAGCTTTGCACGTATTTTTTTTCTGTGGGTGCACCAGTGCACCTAAATATTTTAGTACTAGGTATTTTTGTTCATATCAAATGTATAATAGTCTGCAGGATATTCTTGGCATCTAAGTTTACATGTTGTAGTACATGTTTAAGAGTTTGAAGTTAGCCCCCATTTCAGATTCAAGCAGTAAGAACTGTGAATAGGTTTTGTTTTATATGGTGCTCCCAAAAAAAATTTGTGCACCTAATTTTTTAGGTTGGGTGCACCAGTGCACTTATTCCCAAAAATGAATTTCGAGCCCTCACTCAGAGAGGTGAGCAGGACAACAGTCTACCTAGTCCATAAACATCCCGTTATCCTCCTGGATCTAACGACAAAAGGAAAGAAAACAAATTCCTGATTTTTTTCATGGTACTTTTATGTTCACTGTTTTCACTGTCGTTCACAGTGAAGTTATCATTACAGTTAACAAATAATTATTGGACTTTCTTTTTCCTGCACCTGTCGCCTCCGTGAATATATAGTTCCGTTGACATGTCCATTTTTCTCAGACCGTGAAATTTTGCTACCGTGAACATAAAAAAGTAAATTATAGTATTTTGACAATATGAAGTTAGTAGTAGTAGGTAGCAATAGACTGGTTTATTAGGTCTTAGCACAAGACATACATGGCTGCTGGCTGCTCTGCTTTTTGTGGAGAGGACGAAAGAAATGAAGCGGGTGAATCTGTGAACCAGCAAAATGAAATTGGTGTGGCCTTAGAGTAAAACTGTAGAAACAAGTCCCAAGATGATTCCTTTATTTTCTGGGTGGTACCCTTAAAGCCAGCCCAGGGCCCTTCAAGTAACCATTTTCAGAAATTTGTCAGAACTTGTGTCCATATGTGTTGTTTTAACGATCAGTATGTACTAGACATGAAATGACTAGAATATTAGCTTTGAAAAATTGGGTTTCAAAGCCCTAAAAACTGCCTTGGATGCCTTTAATGTCTTAAGACATTGTAAGAAACTCACATGTCTGAAGTCTTTCTTGGAGACCCTGCCGCGCCCTGTCTTGTCGTAGCGGAGAAACGTCTTGCGGATCTGCACATCCTTCTGAGACATCTGATCCTGGAGCTTAAGGATCACTTCATCCGCAGTCATCTTAGACGTTCTTCTGGCCGCGTTCTTCTCAATGTCATTAATTCTGTAAGCAGATAGCAATCAATCAATTCAAATCAAGTCGATCAATCCGTCAGTCAATCAGGAAATCCATCAATCTGGCAATCAACCAATCGATAAATCAGATTGTTCGATCAATCGATTGAACAACTGATCAATCAACCAATCAATTAATCAATCAATCAACTTTTGTTCTCAATAAAAATAATGAATTTTTCCTCTAATTTATGTGCACTTTGTGTCACAACAAGAATGGTGATTCAGAAAAGATGGTAGGATTACCTTTTAACAATGCCCTGTCAGGTCAGTCACTTAGAACTATGTTTAGAAGGTTTTGGTTGGGCTTTAAGATACAAATCTTAAGTTCTAAGACTCTGTAGCTCCTTACCTGAGGTTCTGGTCGCTCCTTCTGCGCTCCTCCCGAGCGTAACTCTCCTCGTGAACCTGAGTGCTCAGGCCCTGAAGGTCACCCGGCTTTGCGTCGACGCCAAGCTTCGCCAGAAACTCTCCGAACGCGATGTTCCCGTGAACATTCTCCTGGCAGCCTCGCCACATCCTGGGAAAACAAGAGAAAAATTTAACTATTATCGGGGCAATCTTTTGTATTAAGGTCAGATTGGAGACACTTTACAGGCCTGAGTAAAGAGACTCTGTATCTGACAGGTTCACATTGCATTGCAGCACAGGTGTCACTGCTATAAGTTGTGCTGCAATGCAATTTGAACCTTTACTCATTTACTCATTCATCACACTGCATTGCAGCACAGCTGTCGATGATTTTAGTTTGTAAAATGTAACCAAACTTCTAAACTCACTTCTCAAAGTGTTCGTCGGATACGGGCAGCCCAAAGGTGTCCAGGATCCGCCGTAGTTCCCTCCGTGTGATGGTTCCGGTAGCGTCAGGGTCGAACGACTGGTACATGCCCAGCATTGCGTTCCAGTTTTCGGTCAGTTTCTCCCGAAGGATGTCCTCGACCGTGTCCCAGGCGAGGATGGCTGGAGGCTGCTGAGCGTTGAACTTGTGTGTGGAGAACAGCCACTTGTGCGCCTCCTAGTGGGGGCAAATGGAAGTGCAAGTGATGAGTTTTTAATTTTTTAATATACCTTTATTGTACTACATTCATGCCACGACGGGCTAGGTACAGGTCAAGACTTAACAGACACATAACAAACGTATGTAGAAAAGTGGAGACAAAAGATACACTGCTTGACTTAGACATACATACATAAGGAACATACAAGGGTACTATACTAGGCTAATACAAAGTGTTCTAGTTACTGAGCTAATACAAAGTGGTCAACTTCTTCTCGCTTTTTTGTACAGTGGAAAATGTGGGAACAGATCATGTTTGTGATACAGGGTTTGTCTAGATGCATTTAGTGTAACTTGTGTGTGGAGAACAGCCACTTGTGAGCCTCCTAGTGGGGGGATGCGGAAGTGCAAGTGTTGAATATTTGCTACTGTACTGTATGATTACAACTAGAAACTTTACATTTGCAAAGGAAATGCATGAGGTTTACCTTCACAATTGGTCTAGCCTCTGTTTATTATTACTCAAATACATTCATTATATAATATGAAGTGAGCAACCCCTCCAGTTCTGTCCTGCTACATAATGTAACCCAACACCACAAGCTAACTGCTACAGCACCAGTTACCATGGTGACAAATATCTACTCAGTTCAGCTCATTGACTTTATTTGTTTGGAGAAAAAGAAGAAGAAGAAAGCAATCAAAATCAAATTCTAAAAGCTTGACAAAACTTGACGTCCATTGAAAAGTGAAAGTTCTTGAATTGCTCACCACTTTCTCCTGAGGCTCAAAGAGGTCCAGGAACTTCTTGTAGCTGATGAATCCTTCGTGCAGGGGGTCTAAGATGATCATCAATTCCTTAAACTGCTCGTCTGTCATCCGGAAGGTGAAACTCTCGATGATCTTACGAAGTTCCTTACGGGATACCTTCCCATCTCGATCCTGAAGAGACAGTTTTTAGCAAGCAATCTTAAATATAAGTCTTCATCACAAAAAGGTGAAAGATTGATGAACAATCTTAGATCATCGGACCACAAGAGAAGTTTGGTAAACATTTAACTAGTAAGAGGGTGGGTGGTGGTCTTGAGTTGGTTGAGTAGGGTTTAAGGGAAAGGTGTAGAAAGGCCGGATTGTAGAAGAATCATACTTACATCATCGAAAACAAGGAAAGCCAGTTTTGATGATTGAGTAGGAATAGAGTTAGGTTTAGGGCTAGGCTAGGGTTACTAGACAGGCTGGACTAGAGGATTCTGTCATTATAGAAGACAAGAAAAACTTTTAGAGTAGAGTTAGTGAAAGGGTTTAGAAAGGTTGAATTGTAGCAGAAACTCTTTGATAGTTTGGGAAAGGGTTGGACTATAGAAGAAACAGATACTTACATCATCAAAGACGAGAAAAGTCTATCTGGTGGTACAGAAGGGCTTAGGGAAAGGGTATAGAAAGGCTGTACTGAAGAAGAATCAGATTACTTCTTACATCATGGAAAACAAGGAAAGCCAGTTTTGATGATTGAGTAGGAATAGAGTTAGATTTAGGTTTAGGCTAGGCTAGGGTTACAAGACAGGCTGGACTAGAGGATTCTGTCATAGAAGACAAGAAAAACTTGTTTGATGGTTAGAGTAGAGTTAGGGAAAGGGTTTAAAAAGGCTGGATTGTAGAAGAATCACTACATCATCAAAAACAAGGAATGCCTGTTTGATAGTTGAGTAGAATTTAAGGGAAAGGGATCAGAAAGGCCAAATTGTAGCAGAAACTCTTTGATAGTTTGGAAAAGGGCCGGTCTGTAGAAGAAACAGATACTTACATCATCGAAGACCAGGAAAGCCTGTTTAATGGTTGAGTAGCCGTCCAGAATGTGTTTCCTCAACTTCTCGATGATGTCAGAAATGTGCGGGGAGCCCTCAGCCTCTCGGATTGGGTTCACTCTGCAAGGGGAGAATACTTCGTTAGGACACAATAATTAATTAATATATATAATCAACGCTAATTCTTGTGCAGCTTGGATTTTTAACCCTTGTCCTGAAGGCATTTTTTACACAATATTTTTAGATAATTTCATGTCTTAATTAGACCCCAAACTTTTTTTGCTCTGCAGTGGCGTAGTTACTTCTGCATTTGTTGTGTTTCGCTGCGGTGTGATTGTGTTGTACGAGAAATACCCCCAATCTTACCTATACACTGGGTATTATATAGATGGTACTGTATGACTATTGTGCAGAACAACAATTGTTGGGCTCCGCAGGACAAGGGTTATAAAAGTATGAAGTATGCTGTCAGCTGGAAGATCAACAAATAACTCAATAAAGTTCAGTTCATTCATTCATATCAAACATGCAGAGATGTGACTTTCATTCTTCTTCACAAGGCAGTGCAGTGGCCATGCACCTTGGAAAGGCAACCTGACAGTACTACCAACAAGTAAATACAAACAAACAAACAAACAAACATGTGTGTACTGACTTCCTATTTGCCTCAGGTTTGATGGGGATGGTTTGCTCATTGCACATGACTTTCATTCTACTTCACAAGGCAGTGCAGTGGCCATGCACCTTGGAAAGTACTACCAACAAGTAAACACAAACAAACAAACAAACAAACGTGTGTACTGACTTCCTGTTGGCCTCCGGTTTGATGGGGATGGTCTGCCCGTTGCCGTCTGCCTGCGGGTCCTGGAACTTTTCCAGAAAATGTTCCCACGGGACCTTCCCCGACGCCTTGATACGCAACCTGCCAACAAAGTTCAGTTTTATCTTTCATTTTTATTTTTTTATGCTCCAACATGTAAATACAAGACGTGGTGACGGCACACTCAAGTTTATTCAACTTATATTACTGTTGTCACCAACATAGGGGACAATACAATACTCATTTTCACCTGAGCGGAGTGAGGAAAGTCGTGTTAAGTGCCTTTCCAAAGGGCACAAGGTCGGTGGCATGTCAGAACTTGAACCCAGGACCTCAGTATTCTGATTGGTTTGAACTGACCACGCTAACACCGATTGGTCAGTTTGAATCTGTGGAAGGCTGTGATTGATTTGATTTGATTTGATTTGGCTGCTGACCTGTCCATCAACTGGGCAAAGATCTGACCAACAAATTGAATCAGGATTTTGAAGCATTCTGATTGGTTTGAACTGGCGCCGCGCCGCGTGCCTGCGAAGCTGGTATGTTACGCCGAAAGGCGGTTATACCGGCTATACAGATACAGATACAGAACTGACCACCTCAACACTGATTGGTCAGTTTGAATCTTCGGAAGGCTGTGATTGGCCAGTTTGAATCTGTGAAAGGCTGTGATTGGCTGCTTACCTGTCCATCAGCTGAGCGAAGAGCTGATCAGACATGGGGATGGTGAAGTGCACCAGGACAGACTTCAGGTCCTCTATACTGATGTAGCCACTGTTGGTGGCATCGAATGCCAGGAAAGCCTTCTTCACGTTGGTGTAGTTGGTCTTCATCTGTAGAAATACAAAGAAGTATGTTATTAATTTGCCTAGATGGAAACACACAGGATTACATTCTCTTTCTCTCTATATATAACATCTGTGTCCATAATATCACCAGGGTCCATAATATCGCCACCTTGAGAAACAGTGTGCTTAAAGATATTTTTACTGCAACATACCCTAGGTTTGTACATTTGATGTGTGCAGGAGTGCATACCAAAAGTATGTTGCAGTAAAAATATCTGTAAGCACACTATTTCTCAACACTGGGGGTTAGATGTGCTTGCACCAAGTGCAAGTCTTTTTTTGAAGCAAACTTTTTGGATGCCTTTCCTAGTGAAGTGCCAACCAAAACCTCTAACTGAGAGGGAAATGCGTGTTAATTATTACTTATGTCAATAAACAACATCAAGAAAAACAACATCATAAGAAAAGCCTTCTTCACATTCGTGTAGTTACTCTTCATTTGTAGACATGGAAACACATAGGATTACATTGACAAACTTAAGGTAAACAAATGAATAGTCAGAAAAGCTCTCTTAAACAATCTCTTCTGTCTTTAATTTTCATTTGAAGAAATACAGGAAAGTTTCGTCTGAACTCTTTTTCCCTGTCCTTGGTGCTGAAGGGCTGTTGTGATACAGAACAAATTTTCCGTTACACAGAATTGTTCTTACTGGACGGAAACTACTGTATAAAAGTAACCATAACATTGAAATAGGATCTCATTAGATGCATTTTGTTGGTCCCTGTCCTTCCACTGCCTTTTACATTGTACCTCCCCAACTGAAGTCAGGTACCATTTTTTAAGTGCATTGAGGAAAGTAGTGTAAAGTGCTTTTCTAAAGAACACGATGTCTTGCCAGGAATGCCAGGAATCTAACCTGTTAATATATTGTTATCATGTCCGCTATAGCCTAACAACTTTGCTATTCACGGCCACATACAATTGACAGGGCTTTACCCAAGCAATGAAGCAAGGGTGCTCCCCCCTCTACCTAAAATCCTAGCACCTCTCCTATAATGTTCAAATCTAGGGTTTTCTCAAAGTATTTTCATGAAAATTCACAGTTTTTTTTGGGATATCACCCAATTAGGGAGTACCTCTCCTCCCAAAATTTCTGGGGAGACCCCTGATTGAACTGATGACTTGAAGGAACTTTGTTATAAAAAACGACTCCCTTACCTTCTTGCGGAGTTCTTTCTCGATCTGTTCGAAGGTCATCCCCTCCACGACCTTGTCAGTTTTCTGCTGCAGAGCCTGCTTCGCAACCTGCTTCTTCCTCTCCTCCTCCACCTGCTGCCAGTTCAGCGCTGCAGCCAATCACAGAAGGGCATTAGGGAAACAGGGAATCTCATTGGCTGGTTACAACTCTGATAAGCCAATCACAGAAGGCATGAGTAACTTCTGCAATTTCATTGGCTAATGAAAAACTCTAATCAGCCAATCATGGTTCCACATTGAACTTAGACATCAACCCACAGGACAGAGGACAAGGCTGCCATCAAGCCTCAGTATTGCTGTGCAAGCACGTCTAACCCTCGGAAAATGGGGAACAACAGACGATAAACTGGACAGTGAGTGAGTGATCACTTACCCAGCATAGTGGAGTCTGGTGCGACAGCGTTGTGCTTGTGTACGTACACTCCCAGTCTTCTCAGGAACTCTGTATACTCCACTACTCCTGTGTGCTGGAAGTCATATCTGTGCCACAGTCTGCAGAGGGAAAAACAATGATTTTAACCTTATATGGCTGTGTTGAAGTTTACCGGAAAATTCTTTGCATTCATGCATTCCTGGAAAGTTCTTTACATTTTATTCTGGCAAGGTCTTTGAAACTTAGAAACTGTGTGAACCATTGGTACATACTTTCCCATCATTGTCCCCAAATTATTGAAAATCATTAAGACCAGTGTAACTGTTGAAAGGATGACTAGTTAGTTATCAATTAATGACCTAACTCATTAGAATAGCTGGTTAGTTATCGAGTTGATTGACTTACTTATCAAACTGCTGGTCAGTCATCCTGAAGCAGTAATTCTCCAGGACTTTTCTCAGTTCGTGTCTCTGGATTTTCCCGTCTCGGTTGTAGTCGAACAGACGACAGGCTTTTACAAAGTTCTTCAGGTTCCCTCCAATCTGAGCAGGGAAAAATATGATCATAGTAGTAATTAGAAAAGTAACAATTGCAAAGCAAATGCATAATCTTCTGAAAATAGCTTCATCAGGTTGGTAAAAAGTAAAAAATAGCAAGTCGACCCCAGTGATGAACCGGGACGAGGGGGAGTACAAGCTCAGCCACATTTTGGATTGCGTTCTCAGTCAGAAAATCCAAGCAGAACTCCAGTCAGAAGCTCTGAGGAAGGTGTCTGATGGACACCAAAGCGTAAGGTTAATATCTTGGTTGACTGTAAAAGAAAACTCTTGTATCCAAATCCATCGTGTTTACCTTCACATATGGCCTGCTCTGCTAATTCTAACTCAAACACATTTTCATTCGATATGGTCAGGAGTCTAAATCCCTCCTACTATAAAATTGCAACATGATGTAACCCAACACTACCCATGACCTTGACCTTACCTTGTCCTTGAGTTCCCTCTCCAGTTTGTCCACGCTGACCTCCATGGGTGACCTTGACTGGTTGTACTTGTGGATTCCACTCAGCCACTTGGCAGCGTCCTTCCCGGAAGTTTCTTTCCCGTAAAACTTTTCCAGGAAGTCAGTGTAGCGGACTGTACCATTTGGGTTCAGCTGGCACTGTGGGGGGGGGTGGATAAGAAAGGCATAATTAGAATTAGAATGTTCCTCCTAGAATATTCTATTTTCTATGTATTGTATTATTATAGTATTTTATAACTACCTTTGTAGAAAAATGATGGAGAGGGCGGGCGAAAAGAATAAAAACAGGCCTAGGCATCCTATTATGGCCCAAAATGGTAGGATAGGAGCCATGAAGTCAACACACCAGGCTGGTTCAAAATTTAAACAATGAATCTTGAACTTTTAATGATACCACTGCATTGAAAGATGGAATAAATGTAACAACTAGGAAGAAAAGGACTGTTTTCAACTGTTCAGGGCAAAATATGAGCAATTTTTGCAGTTGATTCTGAATTTTTTTTTCAAATCAGAAAAAAATGAAGCGGGCAAATCCGTTAAATTGGTGTGGCCTAATTGGCCTGAAACAAATAATACAATGTAAATAAGTAAATAAATAGAAGTTTTGAGTTTACCTTGGCCAGGATGGCTTCAAACTGGTCCGTTGTGAGGGGGAAGCAAAATGTCTCAAGCACGCGACGAAACTCCCCCTTCGTGATGTTCAGCGACTGGTCCACATCATACGTCTGGAACGCCTGCGTGGATTTAAAAAAAGACTTAGTCTTTATTGTCTGTTGTCATTTACAGTCTTAAAAATGGCCTCTTTGCATTCTTATTACAAAATAATATTAATAGTAAATAGTAAAAGTGTTTAGTTTTCCCACACTGTTTGTGCTTACAGTGATAGTCACCCTGTCAGATTATTTCTGATATATATGGAGGCCCGCATGCCCTTTTCCGTAGAGCGTTATCGGACGTTTTAATTCTACGTAGAGCGTAGACGGACTGCTCCAATATTTTTGCGTAGAGCGTATTCAGCGGTTTAATTCTTCGTAAAGAGTTGTAGCCACTTGGAATTTATCGTAAAGCGTAATCGAGAGGTTTCCAAATTCAGCGTAGAGCAGTGGTCGAAATACTTTTTTTCAGTGCTCTGCAATATTGCAGAAGAGTCAAAATTTCGTCCTGCAATTTGGAAACACTTTCTGCAACTACACAAGCCCCCATATTACAACCTTCTGAAACCAATAATGCCTATTCTTACATCATATATATATAACGTTAACGGTAATAGTTATAGCTTTGTAAATCTGTAGCATTACTGAAATTCTTCAAAATATCAATCTTTTAAATATGTTCGGACCGTAAAACTTTATCGGTCCGGTCCAAAAAAACCGAAACGTCGGTGGACCGGTTTTTTGACCGGAACAAAAATCCATATTTGTTGTTACTGAATAACTGATGATCACTACATACAAAGAAGCCTGCCAGGAAAATGAAAATCCAGCCTTCAAATAAAAGAAGTTTACCTTAGTCTCCGTCTCTCTCATTTTGCAACAATATTTTCCCGTATTTTGCTACCGATAGTCATCTAGAAATCATAAAGGACAAGTCTACGGGCCGTGCTTGGTTCGGATCGAGCCGAAAATCAGATTTTACACCATATGGTCACAATGTGATGCACGTAAATTTTCACTCGAAATGAGAAATTAACGCCCAACAAAACGGACCATTAGGTTCCCAGTGCTGTATTTCTCTTTTGTTCATGTGATCAACTTGTTTTCTTTGCTTGAATCGTGCAAAATACCAAGGAAAACATCGAAATTTCGGCAAATTAATGCCGAGGCGAGTGTGGGTTTTCGGAGGAGCCATGTTTCCTTTGCCGTGTTGCCTGCTGGGAAATGCTCAGCGAAAACTGCCGAAAATTTACGAGGCAGTTGTCGGGTCCTCCCGGGAGACGAAATCTAACATCGGAAAATGGCGAGTGCCCATATTTGGTTATCGTCGCCTTTCGTCGCCTTGTCGAAATCGTTCAACTTTGACCCCAAATTCCCTTATATGGGACCATTACAGTCTGCTGAAAAACGCCGGCAGGTTCGTGCGGCGCAGGTTTTCGATCTATTCACAGCGCCACTGCTTTGCTAATTGAAAACTATTGAATCCGGAGCCTATTTTTCCTTCTGCAAAATTGCAGATTGTAAGATTTTTCTTCTGCAATCTTGAAAATCTATCTGCAAATTGCAGACTGCAGACGGGTATTTCGAACACTGAAACGTGATTTTTAAATATTACATTCG